AAACTTTCTTTGCATTTTTGAAGTAAGCCTGTGTAGTTATAGAGCTCTGTGTCTTTCCTTCTCACGCATGATTCAATTTGCCATTGTTTTGCGTGGGTGTCATAAGGTCTAGTTCCACCCTGAGAATAATAATATGGGGGTTTGAGTTGAGTTTTTCTTCTGAAAGCCCAGGGCCAGAGGTGCGGCTCAGAGCCTGTGATTGTGTCTGCGACCCCCCACTCAGTCTCTTTGGCACCAGATGGCCCTGGGTGAGAAAGGGCAGTGCTGTGCCAGCCAGCGGCAGCCCCGGGAACTCAGATGCTGACAGACAAAACCCGAGAACTTGTGGGACCAGTCTGGCTTGCGTGTGCCCAGAGCACGCCAGTGTTCATGACAGTGCCCAGGGTCCCCGGATCCCCCAGAGCTGGTGTCTGGGCCAGTGTTAAACTCTGATCCACGACAGCAGAGGCCTTGGGGCTGGGTCACAGGCGTCAGCGGAGACGCGTGTGTGTTCCAGGGTGACCGCAGCAGTGTGCTCGGCCCTCTGGTGGACTGGTCAACAGTTTGTTTCTCTTTTTATAACCACTGCTCACTACCAGTGTACTAGTTTTTTCTTTCTTTCTTTCTTTCTTTCTTTCTTTCTTTCTTTCTTTCTTTCTTTCTTTCTTCCTCTCTTTCTTTTTCTCTTTCTTCTTTGAGTTTTTATGAAAGTGGTAGCTAGAGGGAAGAAAAGAGGTATTTTGATGATGGCAGGATGGGTACTTGTGGTTATTTCAATGTGAATATTACAGAGTGACCGTATTTATTTCTTAGGGTTGTCACAACAAAGTAGCCCACACTGGGTGTTTAAACAATGGAAATGTTTATTTTATTTATTTATTTATTTTTTTGAGACAGGGTCTTGCTATGCAGTTCAGGCTGGCCTTGAACTCACTTTGTAGCAGGTCTCAAATTTGCAGTGATCCTCTTCTCTCAGCCTGCTGAGGGCTGGGATTACAGGCGTGCACCACCATGCATGGCTCAGAAATGCTTATTTATATGGGTCTGCAGGCTGAAAGTCTGAGATCAAGATACTGGCAGGGTTGCTTTCTCCAGAGGCCTCTGCTTCTGCTGTGGCTGTCTGTCCTCTGCTTGTGACCTCCTGTGGCCACTCCTCCATGTGGAAATCTCCTCTTAGGAGGAGGAGAAGTTCTGCTGTCTCAGGATGTGTCTTGTGACCCAGCCGTAACATAATCACCTCTCTAAAGAGTCAGTGTCCAAATAAATTTGCATCCCGAGGTACTCTGAAACATCATAAATGAATTCTTGTCAAGCACCGTCCAGCCTTAATGGCGATATTTTCTGTCACCAGGTTCAAAAAGTGTAAAATATAATTTATCCGAGCTTTTGGCTCAGATAATCAAATGGAAGCAGACTGAATTTTTTTTCCCTAAGAGAAATCTCTTTTGCCAAATTTTAAATCAGGCTTATGCTAATTTCTTGAAATAATTGAAAACCTTTTTGTCCCTTTCTATGTTCTGTAACAATTCACCACAAGTCCGTGAGGGTTGTTGGGGCCATCAGGACCAGAGGTGTCTCAGAATTCACAACATTTGGGCTTTTAGAAAGGAAATAAATGACATACACTCTATGTAGCACATCTGTTCCTGGGGATGGGGTTGGGTCTGGGGCAACGTGAGTAAAGAGAAGTCATGTTGGCCTTTCACAGAATGTGCAAATAACCCAGAGAATGAAGATCACATATATGGCTTCAATAAGTCTAGGTCAGATTTTGCTGTTAAGTAGGTTCTGGTCATATTTCATCTTCAAGTGCTTTATCTGAAAGAGTGATAAGATCCAAAATATACAGTAGATATTGTAATAATGAAAGGGAAAGACAGTGCCCCAAAGGACAGAACTACAGGATGGGAGAAGGAAAACAGGAAGGAAAGAAAGAAAACATTATATGGATGTTGGTAAACATATGTAAGTTTATGTCTGTATAGTATGCTAGATAACTATCCTATTAATCTCTCTTAGTTTATCAAAAATAACAGTTTATGCAGTCATTGTCTGGTTGATCACTTTTGTATCTAGATTCTGTAACCTGAACAATTAGTTCTAAGGTCACAATGTGCAATATATTAGCTAGCATTAATTTCCTACTTCTTTTTTCTTTTTTGAAATTCTGTATCATTTCTATCTTTTTTCTCTATTTTGCCTTTAAAATTAAAAATAATTGTGCTTGTCAAGGATTTGGAATTCTAAATTTTAAATTTGTAAATCAGAAATTTCAAAATTATGAGTCAAGTATTGTTCCTCCTGAGACTATGAAACTTTCACCTAGCACAGCATATTTAAAAGTATGCTGTATTTCTTTGCATCACAGTGACTTTTTAGGATTCCTTGAGGTACAAATGGTTGGTTCCTTCCTCATGGAAGGAATGAAGTTGTCAAGAATTTTTATTCAGAATTTCTCTCTGAGGATTGCTTTGGTCTCATTTACAGGCTGGTTATGCGGTTGTCCGGGACCAGTGTCCCCACCCTTTTCTCTGACCCCCTCTCCTCCTGTCATTCCCAAAGCTGGGTTGCTCACTGGCTTCCTGTTTGTTGAGTCCTCCCCTTGGATGGCAGTCCTTCCCCTCGTAAAAAAGGAGGGAGATGATACCACACCACGCTGTGCCATTAAATGAGCCGTGGCTTTGGGGGTGGCTGTGGTTTTTTCTTTTAAACAAATGTATTGAGGAGAAATCTGCACAACATAAAATCGATTATTTTAAAGTGAACCAGCCATTCAGTAAAGTGTGGGGCCCTGACACTGTAGGACCTTAACCATCTCTATCTATCTGCAACCACTTCCATTTGACAGCAGAATAACACAGTTTGCTCCGTAACTTCTTCCCCACATCCCCTTCCTGCCCAGCCTGGCAGTCGTCAACCGCCTTTGTCTCTGTGGATTTGCCGCTGTGAACATTTCATAGAAACAGCATCCTGGAGTATGTGACCTTTGTGTTCAGCTTCTTATACTTAGCACAATGTTGGGACATTTATCCCTATTCTAGCATATATTTAAAAAAAAACAACTTTTTTATTATGGTAAAATATGCATAATGTAAAATTTAGCATCTTAATTTTTAAGTGTGCAGTTTGAGATATTAAATGCATCCATAACACTGTGCAGTGCATTTGTTTTGTTTTGGTTGGCTAGAAAAGTGTTTTGTCTTCATTTTGCCTCCTGTTGGAAGGTGGTATAGTTGTTCTGTAGTTCTCTTTTTCCCATATGGTCAGTATTTTCTGATTTCCTTGCTGTAATTTTGTATGTAATATAAGCCTTTGAACATTCTATTAATTGTTAAAAATAAACTAACCATGTATAAGTTCTTATCATACTAAGTATCTGTCAACTCTCTTTATTTACGTTTTTTTTCCAATTCTCTCTCTTCACCCTGTACCTGACCTCAATCCCATTCAAAGGTTGTGTGTTGAGAAATTTACTTTTTACTGTTTCTTATCTATACATTGATTTTTACATTATGTATATTCTGCTGGGAGTCTTAGCTATGACACTGGCATTATGCTTTGTGATCACGTTTGTAACAATTAGATTGTGCTACACCTTTGTGAAAATTCTTCCTGTGTTTACCAGAAAGGCAGGTGGGAAGAGCTGAAGATGAAGGCAAGGGAGAGATGATACTCTGGGCCAGAGATGGTGGCGCTAGGCCCCCTCGAGTCCTGTGGGCACTGTGTGGCTTCAGGAAGAAGCCTTTATCTTTGGTAACATCCGGTCTATGTCGTCATCAGCCATGCCCTCACTCTTGTACAGTGACAGTGGGTCCACCCGTAAGACAGAGGCCATGGTCAATGCCCAGTCCAGCCTTTCCTAGACTTCAGCCTCCACACGTCTTCTCCAAGAAGCAGAGGCTGCGGGTCTCAGTAGCTTTCCTCTCTTGGGATTCCCTCCTACAACACCCATGAGACCTATCCCAGGTAGGTTAGGTCTTGACTGCTTGGATCTTGAATATAGTTTATACAGGAGTCAAGCACTCTCAAGTGGGGCCACCCCAAGATTTCTTTCTGTCTTTACAATATATATGCAAATTTTCTGCTCTCTTTGTTTGGGCCAATGGATATTTGAGATGTTTCCTGGAAACAATCTGCAAGGGTCTCAGGAGGTTGGCGGTGCTGTGGGTGCTGTGTGTTAGTGTAGAGGTAGAGACTCCTGACCTGCCCCAAGAATGCTATCAGGCGAATGCCTCTGGTGTGTTTTCATCTCAGTGGTGGCCACAGTCCTCACAGGGAGCATAGCAACTGTCCGGCTCTCCCAGAGCCAAGCTACTTTCCAGGACACTCTTCGAGTGGGGCTATGTTAATGAACTTCTCTCATTTAGACTGTTGGCACCCTGAGCATGCAATGGTGCTTGATTTTTTGTAAGGAAAGGGTTTAAACCACAGGATAAAAATCTTTGAGTTTATATTTGGCTTGCAACGTGCTCCTGTTCTGGAGTTTAGGAAGACCTGCAGGCTCGGATTCACTGGAACTGAGTTAGCAGCTTGGGGTTTTTTCTACACTTTGTAGAAGCACACACATGTTCACGTGTATGTGTGTGTATATGTGTGTGTGTGTGTCTGTGTGTGTGTGTAGAGTTCATTGACTCACCGATGCCATTTAACTTTGGAGATGGTGGCTGCATCTTGGAGCAGTACCCCTTTAAATGCGATCCTTGATGGAACAGCAGCTTCACTTGGGAGCATGTTTGAAATGCAAATTCTCAGGTCCCCTTCCACACCTCCTGGACCAAGAAGGAGGCTGGGGCTCAGCAGTCTGTGTTTTAACAAGTCCTCCAAGGTATTCCAGTGCACATTAAAGAAGAGAACCACTATTTTAGAGATTATCCAGGCTACTCTTCTCGATCTGCATACAAGGTATTAAGTCCCCTTTAGAGGAGGAGAGATTTATCCAAGATCACACGCAGGGTCAGATGGAGGCCAGGAACCCAGGTATTACACATGAAAGCTGCTGACGCCCGGTCTGGAATAGAGGCAGCATTTAATAAGGTAGCTTTCTTTCCTCTGGCTTTTGCCTCTTTCTGGGGCAGCCAGGCATGATCAGTGAGGGGTGAGCTGATGGCTGTCAGTGCCCCGATCTTTCTGGTCCCCATTCAAACACAGCCTGCAGAAAGTTCCCAGGCAACTCTGCAACTCCCTGTGGAGAAGCGAGCCAGCAGCTGTGCCCTCTGGGCCTCAGTTTCCCCCTTGCTGCACTAAGAACACGAAGGCTTGGCCTGCCCCTCTTGGCTCCTGCTCAGGTCTGAGTCTCTAAAGCTCCATGACAGGCTGTGACACACTTGCTTCTGCCTTCGGCTATCAGCGGCCATCTGGCAATTAGCAGTCTCTGAGGCAGCTAATCCCACTCTGAGCTGGATTAAAGCTGAAGTTTAAAACATGGAGATAGGCAGGTGATTTCGGTTTGAGTCTTTGGGTCCTGCTGTCCCTGGCAGCCTGATGATGGAGGACAGAAAAGCTGCTTTCCTCTCTTATCTCTCTCGGGAGACTCAGAGGAGGCAGAGCAGCTTTCTGGAGGGGCATCTTGGGCTGGGTGACCTGCTCCAGCTGAGGATGGTGCCAGGTGAGTTTTTTGGAGCCTGCCCGGGCAAGGTGGGCATGGGTGGGCTGGCTGCAAGTGACAAGAGGGAGCCAACGTCTGTGTCCAGCCCTGCAATGCCAGAAGCAGGTGCAGTGGGGGACCAGGGACACAGAGGGTGACATCGTTTAGGATCATGACTCCTGTATGCCATAAAGGGCATTGGGGTGGTAGCTGACAAGCTTCCCAGCTCCTCTGGGGTGTCCTCTCATTAGGCAACATGGTCAGAAACCAAACCCACGTGTTTGCTCATAGCCTGAGGAGATAATTAACTTATCTCCACAGAGGGCCTTGATTACATTCCTAGCATGATCGGAATGAGAAGTCTGAACTCCAAAGTGCTAGCGGTGGGGGAGAGGTATTTGCAATGGTTGGCTGAGGAGCCATTTGTTCAGAAATTGGGCGAGTAATCAAACAAATGCCTCTTTACCTAATTGTTGATAAAAATCAGCTACTATGGCAGATCCAGGGACTCACTCCTGAGACACACATTACTTAAGGTGAGCATGCGTCTGCATATGTTAGAATGATCGGGAAACATTTCACATAGCTTGCACTACAAGTTGTGCCCATCGTGAATTTTATATAGAGCTGGGCACAGGGGACCCTGCATTTTCGGTTGGCTTGCTATGACTGTCAGGAGTTGCCTTTCACAGACATTTACTCGGGCTCTTGCTAAGCACCTACTGTGTGCACCTGGGTGCTAGGTGCTGGGTATTAAAGCAGACAGATTCTTTGCTTTCTTTTGGAGCTTACTGGTAGTCCATATCAAAAAGTTTTATAGAGTTTTCTTTAACCCTGAGTCATGCAGTTTATTCTGTTAGGGCCCATCGATGTTGGAGTGATGGCGTAGTCAGAGTAGACGAGAGAACTATAGCCAGTGCCTCTTGAGAGCTCCCTTGTGTCAGGCATGGTGCTAAACATGGCTTGGCTGATTCTCAGGATGACTTTTTCCAAGTACCTGATGCTCTTCATTCTGTTTTGTGTATGGGAAAACTGTGCGGTTCAGAAGGGTTCGGCAGCTGCAGCGTGTGGGTGAGCAGATCCTGAAGGTGCACAGAAGCTTGCGGCTGTGCCCGGCTTGCGCTTTGCATGCGAAGGCCAGAGATGGGCTGGCAGAGCTGCCCCTTCCCGCTGCTCCATCCTGCCACCTGCACCACTGCTCGTGCTGGTTCCCTGAGCCGGGCCAACCTCTTGCTGTTAGCTTGAACACACCAGACCGCGGAGCCTGAGCCTATGGTAACTTTCTCTCCATCGTTTGGGTCTTTGATTCATAGACCCTCCTTTTTTTTTTTTTTTTTTTTTTTTTTTTGTCTTTTTCCTTTTTATTGATACGGGGATCGAACTCATGACTGCCTGCTTGCAAGGCAGGCGCTTATGCCACTGAGCTAAATCCGCAGCCCATAGACCCTCTTCGCCCAGGCTATCTTCGGTCATCCTTTCTAAAGCAACCCAAGCTTCCTTCATTTTTGAATCCCTCATTCCATTTGGTTTTTGTAGAATTTACCCTTATCTGAAATTAAATTAATTGTGATTTTTCTCTTCAGTGTCTGATTATCTTATGAACAGTAAGATGAGAAGGCATCCTTGGATCTTGGAAGAACATGGGACACTTTGTTTTTTGGGGTGTTTCTGTGGTATAGGAGATTAAACCTAGGGCTTGGTGCATATAGGCAAGCACTCTCCTGCTGAGCTATTTTGATATTAAATTTTCCAACAAGTTAAGTAATTCAGATGCTTATATTCCCAGCTTTGGATGATGATGTGAGAGCTCAGAGAACCGAAGTGGGTTATCCATGACCACATACCCGCTTCTAACAAAGGCAAAGGCACGCCATGCATGGGCCTCCAGATGCCTGGTCCAATATTCTTTCACCTACACCAAGAAGGACTCATTTAAGGGACACATAATGGTATCAGTATTTTAGAATCCCGGTGACTGTGAAGTCACTGGACAAACTCGTGACACTGATTTAGAGTTTTTGTATGTTCTTTTCCTCCTCACTTTCTCCAAAAATGTCACGTCAGATGAGACAAATAAGACAGCATTGGCGAATGAGAAACTGGACTTCGGAACACTTCCATTGGCTCATGTGCTTTGCTTATTCCACAGAGTTTCAAGTTGGCTACAAAACTACTTAATAAATCACGACGCATAAATAAGAAGTTAGAACAAAAGAAGAAAGGGAAGAGCTAACTGGACACATGAGATTCTCCGGGAATGAGACCAAAACTTGAAACTTTAAAGACCTACCGCGGTGGCTTGGACACATTTTATAGCAGGTGCTATCAAAAGAAAAGCAACTGGGTTGTTACACAATCCAAATCATCTCTCCAGAAAAACAGAACAATTATTTTGGAGAAAAACAACCATTTCACTTTCTAACCTGGAGGTTAATTTCTCTTAAAGGAAAGTATGTGGTGCAGTGTATTTTTGTTTTGTTTTGTTTTTTGACTTTTTAAAACGTATGGCCTTTTTGGTGGCAATAAAACTTCATCCTTCCACTGAGAATACTGATGCACAGAAAATGTATTCTAGGTTCTATATACTCTCATTAACTGGGACAGTTTTGTTGACCTTTACCCGATTATAGATAAAATGAATACTACTTTAAGTCCTCTAATTCTGCAGAGACTCTTACACATCTTCCTTCCACAGAGCATGGCATCTCTTCTCTTTGGGCAACCGTCATAGTAATAATTAACTTGGTCAAGAATCATCAACAGATGTTGAAACTGTTGGGAGAAAATTTGATGGGCAACTGGAAATCTGCTTAATCTCAAAATAGTTGCAGCTATTAAAAAGGGGAAAAAGTAATTTATGAGTGATATCACTTTTGCCTAGTGATCAAAGCTCTCACCATTTACAAGATAAGTTTTAGTACCCCCTCCTAATACAGTGCACTTGGGAAGATGCGTCACACTGTGGTCATTACCCTGTAACGGTGACCTGACCAGAACTATGAGGAAACAGCAGACAGAATCAAGCTATCCTACAAAATAACTGGCTTTCCCTTCCCAGACTTGTGAAGGCTGAAACACAGACCGAGGCAGAAGTCTAAATGGCAGGGAATGGCAGAGGTGTGACAACTGAAAATACAATTTGTGGTCCTGGGTTGAATCCTGGATGAGAATTATTATTTTTTCTTGTTTTCTTATTTCTCTACTTTTCTTTTCCATAAGGGATATTATTGGGACAATTAATAATATTTGAGTAATATGTATAGAGGAGATAATAGTAAATATTATTTTCCTGATTTGATTATTTTACTCTAGTTATGAAACAGAATGCCCAAAAGTATACACCATAGTTTTAGGAGTAAATGAGCGTTAATATATTTGCAGTTTACTCCCAAATGACCAATTACACACACATTTGAGAAAGAGAAGGACAGAGAAAGAGGATGTGATAAAACATGAACAGCTATAGAATCTGGAAGGGTATCTATTTTTTTTTCCTACTCAAAAGTTTCCTGTGAATTTTAAATCATTTAAAAATACATACAACTATTCCTAACAGAAATGTTAGATCTAACTAGCTGGTGCACCGGGTCCCTAGTCAAGGAGCTGCAACCCCGCCTACAGGTGGGAGGAGCATCTATCTGGATATGTGTGCGAGGAAATGCCAGTCAAACATCCGGCAGTATTTTTGCAGACAATATTTGACATTTCCAGGACAGTTTTTAAAATCCGACTTATTTTGTAAAGACATCCTACATCACTAGTAGGATCCTGACTCAAAATGTTACTATGATAGAATTCCTTGCTAGCACGAAGGCAAGAGTGACATCCTAGGGAGGATTTAAGTATTTCTCACCTTAAAATATCCTCATTAATTATCAGCACCTTCTACCGCCTCTTTATTACTGTTATTTATATCTCACTGGAAGAATTTTCGCAAGCATCCTCCTGTTGCCTTTCATCACCTCTTTTTGATATATTTTCTTTTCCTCTGCTTTTTTTTCTAAGTTTTTGTGTTTTATTTTATGCCGACAGTTTTATAAGGAATGGTTCTAATAGGTACATGCTATAAAATGGAAATATTTTACTGGGGTATTACATAAAATACCCAGGAGAAACTAGGATATAAATTATATTTTTATTGTAAGATTTTACTGCAAATAAGTTCACATATACAATCTTTTATTTATGATAAGAGCAAATTCTTTTTACTTATAGCTGCGTTTGAACTTGGTGCTTCAGTGAGGAAGCTTCTGTGTAGTTACATAAAAGAAGGTTCTATTTGGATGAGAAATGAATCTCTTATTTAGGAAGTGTTGTTTTTCTTGTTGATTTCCTAAAGTGAGGGAAGGGGGAGACCACTGTGCTGGTGGGTGGGAGGAGGGAGTCAGCCTCTGATTGCAAAGATAAAGCTGAGCTCTCCCCTTGGGTTTGCAAAGGGGTGCATGTGGCCAGCCCCCACACAGGGTCTCCGAGCAGGAGCAGCCCAAATGAGCCTGAATCAACGCCACCCAAACCACCCTTTTGTGCCTATTCCTTCCTTTTCCGTTGGGGAAAATCCACCCATGGAATGGGGCCTCTAAGGAACAACGTTTTCCTGCTCATAGAATAAAATAGGATTAAAGTACTGTACAGGGGCGTTATCTATTTGATTGATTAATTCATTTATTTTGTGATTTGCACATGCCAGGCAAATGTACAGCTGAGCTACATCCTCAGCCCTAGGTTTTTTCTAAGTACTAAAGGCAGAGCTGTGTGTGTCCCTCCCCTGAGATGTAAGATCTTCCACAGTTACACTTTCTCACAAGATGATGATGAATGATCCCAAATTTCTTCCTTAAAAATGCTCTTTGCTTAGCAATCATGGATGCTTCATTTTTATAATTCATTGAACATATAAAGAGCCCTGACCCTTGGGGTCCTAAGTATTGGGTGCAAATGTGCGCTTACTCCTCCGGAAACCAGGCAGGTCCTCAGAGCCATTATGTAAGGTAGCATCATGGTTTTAGTTTCCTCTGACTTGAATCTGCAGGAAGCAAATTCTGCCTCTGAACTGAACCCGTCACATTCTGAACTCACAAACCCCAGGCTGGGTGGACTTGAGAAGATTTCCCCTCGCCAGTCATCCTTAGGCAGAAAGCAGGAGCAGCCCTGGTGAATTCTGTGCTGCTAGGCTCTGCATGTGATAGGAGACATAAAGTGAGGGAAATTGTATAGCTTATCTCTACTTCTTGCTGACTTGCGATTTTTACCTTGTTTAATAGGAAATTAACTGAAATGTAGGTCTGTCCCTTGAGAGTAGGTATCCTCAATTATGACAGGCCATGAAAGATGTGTACCGGAAACTAAAACTCTACAAACAAGACACTTCCTTTTAATGGTTTATCCATAAACATTTATTGAGCCCCTTCCTACACATTTCCAAAGAGTCTCCTCCTCTTGAAATCTCTTTGCTTTTAAAGGCACAATAATTTCTCCTGGTCTCAGCTGGAATTAAACAACAGAAATTTCTGAAATGCAAAATTTTAGGGTGAGATTCTTAAGAAAACCAATGGTATTTTACTATATGGGATAATATAAACAAAATTTTTTATAGGCAAAGAGATAATATAGAAACTATTGTTCGTTTTCTGTTAACTGGTTCTAAATACCCTGTAATTTCTTCATTCTCTTGAATAGCTTCAGACTGACTTGATATGCTTGGTGCTATAGTATATGAAGTTATACTCAAATAATTCAAGGAAGGAGGCACTATGGTGACTACTATTATGTTAGATTATCTGGGGGTGAAACACAATGATGCTTAAATTGTTCGGTTCTGACCGGTGTTGTTCTAATACAATGTCCTCTTTTACCTCAATCCCACCCTTTTAAAAAATTAATCTATTTTTCTTACATTTTTTTTCAATTAAGGGAAAACTAAATTAAAAAATAGCGGAATATATTATAGTAACTTTTTTGTTTTCCTGTTAACCTGATATGATCCCCACTATTGCTCTCCCCATTTTGTTCTGTCAGATTTTACTATATTCTATTTTGTTTGATAGTATCAAATTTGAGGGTATAGGCAACCACTTTGAAGGCAGTAAGATTCACTAAGATGCCCATTATGGTTTGACTATTATCTTCTTTTTGAAATCCTGTAAGGTCTCCAGTGTAGGTTTTATTGGTTTTGTTCTGTACTGTTTTGATCAATTCCATTATACCTGACGATATAGGCAACTTTTTAAAAAAATAGCAAGAGGCACAATGGTAACCATTTTAGATCACCTGATATTCTATTTTTCCATTGTGCACTATGCCCATCCTTTTGTTCTAACTGACTCTGTTTTGTTTAGCCACGTTAGTTTTATTCTCTCCAAAAAAATAATAAGAATTGTGGGAGTAAAAAACCCAAAAAATGTAATTGTTATTAAAAAGAGAGGAAAAGAAGGTGGTCTAAGGGATATAACTGCATGTATGTTTGAGTGTGTAGGATGGAAATCCATATTATTGAACTTTTGTTGGATCATTGATCGGCACTGTCTGCAATCTCATTGTATGAATGTTCACTTTATATGCTTTAATTTTATAATTTGGACAACTATTTCAAAGATGACAATATGTAACCTATTAACTAGTGATATCTTACTGTATCTTTTTCCTTGAAATTCTGTATTATTTGTACCCTTTCACTGTTTTTTTAAAATTTTATTTCCTTTCTTTTTTTTCTTTCTTTAAATAAAAAAATGAAAACCAATGGTTAAATGTACTAGAGCTTTAATTTTCTTTTTGCTGTTCAATGACTTCCTTTTTTCTTGTTTTTCATCTCTTCTTTTTCATTTTTCTTCTCTTTCTTGTTTCCTTTTCCTCTCTTGCCCTCTCTTCTGGCTCTTTTCACTCAGTGCAGTGCTTGTTCAGAGATTTATCTTTAATTGATTTCTCTGGCATGGTACTGAGGAGTTATGGTCTTCATTTTTTTTTTTTAACACAGAATTAAAATTTTGTTTAAGTTTTCTTACATTTATCAGTTCAGCCCCAAAGGCAGCTGGCATTTCTTCTCCTCCCTATTTACCTTATTTGTCTGGCTGCTGTCCAGCAGGCCCAATTCTGTAGCTCAGATAGGACCTCTGGCTGCCGGGCTTCTCTAGTCAGTCAACACACTCGTGTGGCAGGATTTCCAGTGGTGGAACAGAGCTGAGCTCACCTTTTATGAACCAAGTGGTGGTAACCAATTTACACATCCTGCACTGGGGGAAAATCAATTTCCAAACTGCCACACTTCTGTGTCTCTAACAAATCGTTGCCTGAGTCCCATCTAGTCTTTGTCAAACATGCACAGGTCATTGCATTAGGCTGTGAACAGTGCGCAGATATGTTTTAATTAGCACGTGTTTGAAGAACATAATGCTTGCATTCCTTATGTGGGATTGGTACATGTACATAACACATTTTAATTCCTTTTTCTATCCCTTTCTCTCCTGACTCCATCCATCTCTTAATTCCTTTCCCATTTGAGAAAGATTTGTCTCCTACTTATTGTTATCTATCTTTTATTTGCACTTTATAATTTAGGTTTCCTATTTCACAATATTATGGTCATGACGTATGTGCGTTTTCATACAAATAAGTTGATCTTTATGGCAGGCTGGTATTCTATTTTATGTAAATACCACATTTTCTTTTCTTTTTAAAATTTTATTTAAGGAGAAAAAAAACAGAAAAAAGGGTACAAGTTATACAGAATTCCAGAAAAAATAAACAGTAGGAAATCACTAGTTAATTACATATTGTCATCTTAGAAATAGTTGTTGAAGTTACAAAATTAAAGCATATAGAGGGGACTTTCAAACAGTGAGACTGCAAACAGTTTTGTTCAATGATCCAATAAAACTCAGTAATATGGTTATCTATCTTATACACTTAAATATATATGCAGTTATATCTTTTAGAGAATTTTCTTTTCCTTTCTTTTGTACAATGACAATTACAAATTTGGGTTTCATTACTCCCACAGTTCTTATTACTTTTTTTTTTAAGAAAGTAAAACCAAATGTGACACACCAGGACAGAGTCAGTCAAATCAAAAGGATGGACATAATACATAATGTAAAAACAAAATACAAGGTGATCCACAATGGTTACCATAATGCCTCTTGTTATCTTAAAAAGAATTGCCTATATCATCAGTTATAATAAAATTGAACAAAACAGTAAAGAATAAGACCAATAAAACCAAAACATTGGAGACATTAGAGGACTTCAAAAGAAGATAATAGTCAACCAGAATGGGCGTCACAATGAATCTTATTGTCTTCATAGTTGTTGCCTCTACTTTCAAACTTGGTACTATCAAGCATAACAGAATAGAGGAAAATCAGTCAAAACAAGATGGTGAGAGCAATACAGAGTTTCAAATCAAGTTAATAGGAAATCAAAGTGGATTACTATAATATATCCTGCTATTTTTTATTTATTTTTCCCTTAATTAAAAGGATAAAAATGAAAAAGTAGATAATAAAAAGGAGATTGAGATAAAAAAGAGGGCATAGCAACAAAACAGCGCAGGTCAAAACGTAGCCATTTAAGCAGAATAGTGTTTCACCACAAGAAAATCTCGACATAATAGTAGTTACCATATTGTCTCTTCCCTTAAAATCTTTGGGAATACCACATTTTCTTTATCTATTCATCTGTTGATGAACATATAGATTGCTTCCAAGATTTAACTAGTCTGAGTTGCGGTGCTAAACACAGATATGCATGTATCACTGTAATACGATGTATTTTATTCTTTAGGGAAGATGCCTAAAAAGGGAATCGTTAGGTTAAATGGAATTTTTAGGTATAGTTTTTTAAAAACTAAATCAGAGTTTCCAGAATGATTTTATTTTTACATTCTGCTTTTTCATTTTATATCTCATGTTATAAATCAGTCTTACTGCCATATAACTGTATTGTTTCTCACAATTATTGAGTACCTACTGTGTGTCAGCTACTATGAAAAAGGGCATGTGACAGATGAGATATGTTACACAGCTGGGATCAAGAAGACTAGGGTTTAATTCTGGGCTTGTCCACTCTCTTTCTTACTTAACTTGGATCAAGTTACTTAACTTCTCTGAACCTTAATTTCCATCTGTTACACTGAGAATAACAACAAAATGCATTCTTAGAGTTGTAAACTTTTGTTGAAATACAGATTTCAAATGCGAAATAGTATAGTGGTTAGAATATACCAAGCATGAAGACACACATAGGATTGGCTATGATGATGTGACATCAAGGAATTTAATGTATGCAATAAGAAATGACAGGAGCTGCGACAAATGTCTCACAGCTTCACTGGAAGCACTAAGAAAAATATTGTCAGTTCCATCCTGAAATAGAGGTTGGAAAAGCAAGAAAATCTTCACAGAGGGCAAAAAAGCAGCTCAGTTTTGAAGGCAAACTGGTGCTTATCAAACAGATAAGGTCCCACTCATACACAGATGTACAAATGAAGTTAACGTTTTTAGACTGTGAAAAGTCCAGGGCTTTAACAAGTAGAGACAGAGGGAGGAAATTCCAGGGAGGTGCTACAGCTCAAGCAAGTCACTGAGTCATGGATTTTATTTAAAGAGTGGGTGGGTTCCTAACTGATTTAGTTCAGGGGAAATGAGTCCTCCAGTGGGGCCATTCAAGGGACCTTAGAGATGCAGGTGGGGAAGTGCACTGAAGAGGTAGGGACACCCTAAGGCAGCGTAGGGGGAGGGAGTGGGTGTCTGGGTGTGGGGAGGTGATGGGAGTATCGTGCTCATAAGACCTCTCTTTGCAGCATGGAGCTGGGGTTGGAGACGACAAAGGTAGAAACAGGGACAAATCTAGTGCAGTTTTCCAGACCAGATGGACCAGGGCTTGAGCTCATTGGGTGTGACATTCTGCAGATTGAACCATGTTAAAATCTCAGTACAGTGTGATACAGTGTGAACAACTTCATGTTCATGGGCACTTCATTATAAACTTCTATGTCCTGAATATTGCTGTGGTTTGCATCTTTATATACAGATATTTTCATTAAGATTAAGGGTAGAAGCATCTACATGACTCTAGATAATTATAGGCAAATAGTTCCAAGTGGGTTTTCCACAATATATTTTCACCAGGGCACATTAGGTCCTGGATTTCTTGACACCAGAGGTCATACAGGACTGACTTTTTTTCTTATGCCAGAAGACACAAGAAAATTTTAATTTGCCATTCCATGATATCTAGATAAATAAAGTGGTTTCCCCATTTGTCTTCTAATTATGTGTCTTCACTTGTGAATGAATTGCATATCCTGTCCTTTGCCCATTTGATAAGCAATCGTGTTAAATCCTGTTTTGGCTGGCCTCTCTCTGGCAACTCTCCACATGACTATTTCCCATAGGCTAGCTTTCTCATTTCTTTCCTCTCTGATCTATTGTAACTGAATTCTTTTTTTTATTCAATATCTAATAGATGTAACAGTTCTAATTGCCATATTGATTCATGGTCACTACAGTTGTGGGCGTGTTAAGAGAACAGGGTTTTGCTGTAAGAGACCTAGCTTTTGAAAGCTGGCTTCACACTCTTTAGATGTCTGATATGGGGCAAGCATCTTAAGCATTGTGAACTGGTCTTATTTGTAAATTGGGAATTGTAATTCATGGTAGTGTCAAGCGGGAATTGTATTTGACTATGAGAGATCTAAATACAGTAGCTTCAAACAAGTAGTAGTCTATTCTTTTATGTTAAATGGTTTGGGAGTGAACAGCCCAGTGTTGAGACGGCAGTTTATAAAGTCTTCCTCCTCCTTCCCCTCCAGTGTTGTGAGGTTGGGAGTGGATTGAGGAAGAGTGACAGAACCATCTAAATTTACAGGCACATTTATCCTTAGGGTTAGATAGTGGCCAAGTTGAAACTATTCATTCACAAAAAATTTGTTGATTACCTGTTGTATATAGATTTCTGAGATCTTTCTCTTCTGAAAAATGTAAGAGCCCACCAAGAAGGTTCTGGTTTCTATATTAAGTCTTAAACCACAGGGAATTATTATCTATTTTTCTAGAAAGACCTAGACTTGAAGGATTTGGTTTGTGAGATGTCTATGTAGGTCTCTGCCTCCTTGGCCAAGATGCTTTATAATAAATCCCATTGTGGAAAAGGCAGCCTCATAAAATGTGCAAAGCCAGACTCACAGATGGGTTTGCAGAATTACCCTCCCAAAAGCTTCCTGTCCTTAGCACTGGATGAAGTCAGTAATGGATGTATGCTTTCTGGATATGCATGTAGCAGTCTGATGCTACCAGACCGGCCTCGTGATTTTGTAGCCACACTAATGATAGAGATGCTCTAAAGCATCATGAGACCATGTTACTGACGGTCTTCCAGAGCTGCTGCCAGCCGAGCCAGCAGAGAATTCCTTCATTCTCATGATAGGGTTTATTATTATTATCACTATCAGGAGAATCACCATAATTCTACTTCTGACAAAATGTATTCATTACAAATGAAATTTTTGTTCGGATCTTGTAGTTCATGCCTGAAAGCAAAGATACAAGAATTAATGAGCATTTTTGCTGATGAGAAGAAAAATCACTGAAGGGTGATTGGACCTTAGCCTTTTAATGGGTCTGATATTCTTTCATTAGGGCTGACAAGGGTGTATCTGGCACCCTTTTCTTCGTGTGCGATGGTTTAAGGATGTTCTTTATGCTGCATGAAGCTAACTATTCTTTCATAGTGATGATACAGCCTCGCAATCATGAGCCTGTGAACAGTTCCACTGAATGGTGAGTGTGGCCATAGAGAGGGCGGTAATGCGGACTTAGTTAGCAAGTGGTGGAAGGAGTTTGATTAGTTTATTAGAATGTCAGTGTAATTTGATTCTTGTTTTCCTTTACACAGTCAGGAGGCAGCAGGATTTCCAAAGAGAAGCCCACTCAGGAAACCAGTAGGTGGCGGCTCTGAAAGCAGCCATGTGATGCTGGCAATGCAGGGACTGTGGGCGTGGGCACAATTTACTAGAAGTTTGGAAGGATGTGGGTAGGTACTGGCACACAACAAAACAGCGTTCCAGGCTGAGTCAAGAAAAAATAATGCAATTAGAAAGCTTTGGTGACTTGTGAGCTCAGCCAGTCTTATTAATAGGACTTGGAAGAGTTTTCATACTGAAAATAGGTGCTCATTTTTGATATGCTAGGGCCATGAAATTACAGAAAGCAGGAAGATGATTCAGGGTATTAATTCTAGCTGGCTCTGTCTCAGTTTTGTACCATTCAAGTGAACAAGTTGTTGCCCGTGAGGATGCAGTTCAAGAGCTGGTTCCTGATGGACTGGCCATCATATTTCTTTGCTGTGAGATGGCCACGAACTCTCAGACAAACCTGTCTCCCCGAACTGTTTCTGTTCTACTTCTCACACCAAATGTGTGTGGATTATTTCCTATATCAAATAGTTCTCTAAGTCTCCAGACACTAACTACCCAGCACAGCTTTAGGGATTCAGTTGCCTGAGATGAGCCTAATTTCACAAGCTGGTCCCAGCTCTGAATGCCATGGACACCTCTGACTAAACTGGCTATAAAATGGGGAGCTCATGACTCTTCTCCAATTCAATATTTTATCAACAGAGGCTCACAAAACTTAGGGCAGCACTTTACTGACATCCCTCAGTTTACTGCAAAGTATGAAGGACTCCAGAGAACAGCCTAATGAAGAGTAGCGTAGCCTGGGGTCTGGAAGGTACCTGCATGCAGATGCTTCTGCCTGGAGGGGCTGCAGTCCGGCTGTGGCTGCATGCATCAGGCTGGAAGGTCCCCGTGCTCCACTGTCTAATGGTCTTCATGAAGGTTCCATGGTTAGGCAGGATTGATTACATCATGACCACTGGTGACTGGATGGCGGGATTGGTTACATCATGACCACTGGTAACTGGATGATCGGATTGATTACATCATGACCACTGGTGACTGGATGGCAGAATTGGTTACATTATGACCATTAGTGACTGGATGGCGGGATTGGTTACCTTATGACCACTGGTGACTGGATAGTGGGATTGGTTACATCATGACCACTGGTGACTGGGTGGTGGGATTGGTTACCTTATGACCACTAGTGACTGGATAGTGGGATTGGTTACATCATTACCACTGGTGACTGGATGGTGGGATTGGTTACATTATGACCACTGGTGAATGGATAGTGGGATTGTTACATCATGACCACTGGTGACTGGGTGGCGGGATTTGTTACCTTATGACCACTGGTGACTGGATAGTGGGATTGGTTACATCATGACCGCTGGTGACTGGATGGTGGGATTGATTACATCATGACCACTGGTGACTAGATTCACTTTCCAGTCCTGTCCCTCCCTCCTCCTCAGCAGTTGGTGAGTAGAGCAGCAAGTTCCAAGCTTCTAATCAAGACCTGGTTTTCAGGTGTCCAGCCCCCAACCTGAAGCTCTGTGGAGGCCCAGTCACTAGTACTCATTAGCACATAGCACTCAGGAGGTGCCCAGGGATCTAGGCTCTCCATGCCAGGAGTTGGAAACAAATATGAAATATGTATTTTTTACTGTGTTGCAGAATCTTTGGCCAAGAACCCAGACAACGTGGGGCTTAAGGGCAGAGTCACATGAGTAGGACACTGTCTGTCTGCCCCTGGTCACAAAGTCACAGGCTAGATCTCTGCTGGGGTAGCACACTTTCCCTCATTCTAACAAGGTTCCTTGTGAAGGGCACCAAGGACCAAAGTTTCCCTTCCTTTTTACCACTCTCGTTTTTGTTTCTTTTCTCTCATAGTGTCTCTGGATCCTCCTCACTCATCTTGTTCTTAACCTCTTTCCTGATTAGTATCCAACATCTACCATGTGCCACACATTTTCTAGGGTGATGTGATGGATGTGTCAACAAGACACTGTTCACACCACCAGGGAGCTGTCAATATCGTAGGAAGTGGCAATGAGGCAACTGTACATAATCCATTGTGGAAAGTGATACTTGGAGATTTGTAGAAGTACTTTGGGGCACAGAGGAGTGAGCAATTAGTTATGCCAGGAGATTTAGATATGTTGTCACAGGAGACATAACATTTTCACTTGTTTGTGAAAGATGAGAAAGATGCTACTAAGTGGAGATAAAGGAAGGGTATTCCAGGCAAAGGATAAAACACAGGCAAAGACTCTGAGTTATGGATGTTTATTCAGGAGATAGTGAACTGAACAGTATGATGCTCGCATAAGGTGTTGAACCACGAACAATCATAATAGTCAGCATTACCAAGCATTTATTATTTGCTAGGAACTTTTAAGCCCTTTATGCATATTAATTTATTTAATCTTTAAAACAATGCTATGGGTAGTAACTAATATTATCTTCATTTTTCAGAGGAAGACATAGAGGCTTAGAGATGGTAAGAGGAACTTTCCTGAGGTTGTAACTTGCCATGGCCTAGAGCCAGGATTAGGAAGAAAAAGCCTGAATATGATTGACTAGAAAGACAAAGAGGATAGAATTTAATACCTTGAGCCATGGGCTTATTCATAATCTCTGTCCCTCCCAGAATCCTCTGACGTGAGAAGTACAACATGATCCATTTGGGCATGAGAAAAATGTTCTTGAATTTTCTATTTGCTTTTGTCTCATCTTTTAAAGGATTATTTTAGAAGTGTTTCATTGTGTACTCACTATGTTAGTAAATTTGAACACTTACATAATCTCTAAATAATGAGGTATATATAGGTCAGGTCTTTGTATGAGGACAGTTTCTACTATAAGAACTTCTAATCAAACAGATTTAGAGACTAATGCTCTAGGCCAAGGATATTCAAGATCAATATCAGAATCACAATAATGCTGATTGAAAATATGAATTCTTAGGCCTCAACACACTCTCTAAATACTCTAGCATTAAGGCTCAACTAGCTACATATTAGCAAATCAAACATGACCTCAGGGCAGTTTAACCTTTAAGGTAAAAAGTGAGAGGTTCTAATTAGAATTCCCCAAAAATAATTCTAGTAGGATTGAAAAAAAGGAGACATTGTCGATTAGGAGATTCTTTAGAAAGCCATTAAAAAGGACTTCACGGGAGCTGAATGGAGTCATAGTGATGGAGAAACTTTTGGAGTTTTTAATGATACAAACAGCCTGCTCCAGGGTAACTACCGTAGGTTCTCCGTCACTGCAACAGAGCAGAAGAAGCATATTTCTGAAATACTTGTGGGTGAGAAAGAGGAAATGAAATCCAGCTCCTGCACCTGGCCTGCAGAATTGCTTTTACTGCATGTGCTCAAGCCTCAGTGGGAGTCATGATGCATGGCAGGAGGAATCTTTGAAGAATGGCACTCTTTAATTTGAAGTGTGAAAAGGTTATTCATGATTAGTAAACAATTAGAAATTAAACTTTTAAACTCAGAAAATAGATGGATGTTGTTATGGTTTGTCCCCCAAAGATTCATGTGCCAGAAGCGTGATCTTCATTGCGTTAGTATTGAAAAGCATGGGGAATTTAAGAGATGGGGCCTACTGGGAGGGAGTTGGGTTACCGGAGCACCCTGCCCTTGGGTGGGTCTCACTGAGAGTCACTGAGAGCCTGGGTTGTTATTAAGAGAGGCCACTGCCCAGTCTGACTGCCTCTGTGTCTGCTCACAGCTCTGTACACCCTCCTGCCATGCACTGCCTTCTGTGGCCGTGGTGCAGCCCGAGGTCCTTGCTGGATGTGGT